ACCCCTGCCACCCAGAAAAGTGTCACCTGAGTATTTATTGTACCCAGTTCCAACACTAAAGAAAGGTCAGACATATTTGTTCCCATGGTGGAAAATAAAAGGCTGTTTGCCCATGTTGCCAGGATTCCTCTGGAAAGCATCCGGGAATCATTCCAGAAATTCCATTTCCAGGTGTGTCTTTCTTTAAGGAAATATTGTGCAGGTGCCATTGGCTGTGGGCGTTGCTGTGGCAGATCGGCCTTATTATTGAATAGCAGAGGAAGGAGTCATGGGGGAAACATAACATGAACGGACAGAGTGCACACGCGGAGGCCTGAGGAAGCTGCAATCAGGGAGCTGACTTGGTTCCAGAGCGTGGCACTAAGGAGACCAACTTTCTGAGCTGTAGATTCACATTATGGCCATGCAGGCATGGAAGTAAGGCAAGCCCATACTTCTTCTTGATTCCGGGACTCCCACTTGAGGCTGATTTGCTGCAACCTTAGCTCTTGAGAGAACTGGGGTCCCTGCCTTCTTGGAAAGCCTGAGAAGAAGTTTTGCTCTCTGGGCGTCACAGCATCCAGTGTACAGGAGACAGGTCAGCAGCTGCGGTCAGCAGAGGCACACACGCCAGCCGCTGGAGATGGGTGGCTTGTCCTGAGTCAAAGCTGGGCTGGTTTATAAACTGCACCTGTGAAGAGAAGAGGGCTGACCCCAGTGGGAATTTCCTGAACCATGTGCACCTGTTCACCCAGGAGAAGGAACGGCTGGAGCTGCTTCTTTCTGTTTATGAAATATGGGCCAAACTCCACTGATAATATAATTTTTAGACCATTTAGTGGAATAATAAAAGTCAAAAGAGAAAAGAGAACATACATGGGTTGAACACCCACAGCGTGCTAAGCTCTCTGCTAGGTGCATTATGGAAGAGAGCTTATTGAATTCCTACGCAAACCTCTGGACGGCCACTGACCTGGAGTCTTGATAGCCAGATAGTTCATTCACCCCGCTGAGTCTCAGTTTTTATGTGTATGAAGCGGGCTGACCCTACCTAACCAGGGTCTATTGCAGGATGATTGAGGACGGTGAATGAAATTATGGCCGAAGCTGTGCCCTTCCAGCTCACTGAGATGTAATTCACCCTACATCTGGGGGAAGGTGGTCTGATTCTTGGGATGTGACTCCTGGATATGGTTTGTTTCCACAGGTGGTACAGATTTAGGAGAAGAAGTCTATCTTGGGTCAGGTGTCCCTAAAGGCGGATCCTGAGGTGAGGATTCTGGGACATATCACTTACTTGGGAGATGAGCTCAGGAAGCATGGGAGGCAGTGAGGGGGTGAGGCTGGGAAGGAAGGAGACTCCACAGAGGGTGTGTTCATGAGAGGGTTACCTCTATGGGCAACAGGGACTCAGTCCCCCTAGGGACCCTCTAGGAAACTGTGCAACCCCCCTCAGAGTGGCGACGCTGAGAGGGGTGGAGCAGGGGTTTTACCCACCAGCTCCTGTCTCTCACGGTCGAGGCTCACTCCTATAGCCTTACCTTAGACTGAAGAACTGTTTGCAGGCAACCTCTAGGGCATGCCCAGGGCATGTGGTTGAGGTACCAAAATGCCTCTGAAAGAGAGATCCCCCCACCTCCAGAAAAGGAGAGGGAGAAGGCAAGAGGAAAGTGAAGGTGGAGAGTTAAGACATCTGGAAAACATGTGGCGTTTGCCCTACATCGAAGCCGAAACCTGGAAGATGAGAAATCTGGGCTTCGGGGATAGAGTGCTTGTCTCCCTTCCACTCACTCTCCAGGACCCACCTGTCCACCCACTCCACTTAGAATAGGCACCCACTTACGGAGTAGAGGGTGCAAGAATTGGAGGCCGGTTCAGCGCTGTTAGACAATGAAAGTAGCCCTTATGGTGTTTCACACAGTGTTCATTAGCAGGGAATCTTAAGCTGATGTCACTGGGACTTTCGCTGGTAGGCTGCTGTCATTGGGGGCAGTATAATCCTGTGGTTATGAGCAAGAGTTTTGGAGTGAGATCAAGCTGGGGTCAGGGTCTAGTTTTGTACCTTGTTAGCTGTATAAACTTAGTCAAATTACTTCATCATCCATTTATTTATTTATTTTTAGAGACAGGATCTCACTTTGTCACCCACATTGGAGTGCAGTGGTACAAACATACCTCATTGCAGTCTTGAACTCCTAGGCTCAAATAATCCTCCCAGTTTAGCCTCCCAAGTAGCTGGGACTATAGGCACAGACTGCTGTGCCTAGCTAATTAAACAAATTTTTTTTTTTTTTTTTTTTTTTTTTTTTTTTAAGGGAAGGGTTTCCTTATGTTGCCCAGGCTGGCCTCAAAGTCTTGGCCTCTAGCCATCCTCCTACCCTGGCCTCCCAAAGTGCAGGAATTATAGGTGAGAGCCCCTACACCTGGTCATTACTTCATCTTTTTAAGTTGAAGTTTCCTCATTCGTATAACTGGGAAAATGCTAAACTTCTTATAGAGCTGCTGTGAGCGTTAAATGAGATACTGCTCTTATTGCAATATCTGACACATAATGAACAATCAATAAATTCTGGCTAATATTCTCACTCATTCCACAAATATTTATTAAGTCTTTTCTTTGTGCCAGGCTCTATTTCAGGCACGAGTGATACACCAGTGAATTGAGATAGATTCAATCTAAGTTGTCATAAAATTTAGATCCTACTATCTTAGAGACAGACAATAAACAAGAAAATAAGTTGACAACCATTATCATTTCAGGTAATAATATGGTTTGGATGTGTGTCCCCTGCAAATCTCATGTTGAAATGTAATCCCCCATGTTGGAGATGGGGCCTGTGGGGAGACTACTGGATTCTGGAGGTAAATTTCTCATGACTGTCTTAGAATTCTCTAATTCTCTAATAGCAAATTCCTGTCTCATTGATCTATCTAATATTGATGTTGAAGTCTCCCACTATTATTGTGTGGGAGTCCAAGTCTCTTTATAAGTCTTATGTATCTGGGTATTTCTGTATTGGGTGCATATTTGTTTAGGATCTTTAGCTCTTCTTGTTACATTGATCCTTTTATCTTTATGTAATATCCTTCTTTGCTTCTTTTGATCTTTGTTGCTTTGAAATCTATTTTATCAGCAAAAATTGCAATTCCTGCTTTCTATTTATTTATTTTTGCTCTCCATTTGGTTGGTGAATTTTTCTCCATCCCTTTGTTTTGAGTCTTTGTGTATCCTTGCATGTGAAATGGATCTGGATGTGGCATACCAATGGGTCTTGGCTTTTTTTGCCTGTCTGTGTCTTTGGATTGGGGGATTTAGTCGATTTAAATTTAAAATTAATAACAATATATGTGTGTTTGATACTGTCATTTAATGTTAGCTGGCTGTTTTGCCCATTAGTTGATGCAATTTCTTAATTATGTTGATGTTGTTTATTTTTTGGTATTTTTTAGAAAGGCTGATACTGGTTGTTCCTTTCTATGTGTAGTGGTTCTTTCAGAAGCTCTTGTAAAGCAGGCCTGGTGGTGATGAAATCTCTGAGGGCTTGCTTGTTCACAAAAGATTTTATTTTTCCTTCGCTTATGAAGCTTAGTTTGGCTGGATGTAAAATTCTGGGTTGAAAGTTCTTTTCTTTAAGGATGTTGAATATTGGCCCCCACTCTCTTCTGTCTTGTAGGGTTTCTGCTGAGAGATCTGCTGTGACCTTTATGGGTAACCCAACCTTTCTCTCTGGCTGCCCTCAGTATTTTCTCTTTCCTTTCATTTCAACCCTGGTGAATCTGGTGATTATGTGCCTTGAGGTTGTTCTTCTTGAGGAATATCTTTGTGGTGTTCTCTATTTCCTGGAGTTGAATATTGTCCTGCCTTGCTAGGTTGGGAAAGTTTTCCTGAATAATATCCTGAAGCATATTTTCCAGCTTGGATTGATTCCGTTCGTCACATTCAGGTACACCTATCAAACGTAGATTAGGTCTTTTCACATAGTCCCATATTTCTTGGAGACTTTGCTCGTTCTTTTTTATCCTTTTTTCTCTAATCTTGTCTTTTTGTTTTATTTCNAAGGAAGGGTTTCCTTATGTTGCCCAGGCTGGCCTCAAAGTCTTGGCCTCTAGCCATCCTCCTAACCTGGCCTCCCAAAGTGCAGGAATTATAGGTGAGAGCCCCTACACCTGGTCATTACTTCATCTTTTTAAGTTGAAGTTTCCTCATTCATAAAACTGGGAAAATGGTAAACTTCTTATAGAGCTGCTGTGAGCGTTAAATGAGATACTGCTCTTATTGCAATATCTGACACATAATGAACAATCAGTAAATTCTGGCTAATATTCTCACTCATTCCACAAATATTTATTGAGTCTTTTCTTTGTGCCAGGCTCTATTTCAGGCACGAGTGATACACCAGTGAATTGAGATAGATTCAATCTAAGTTGTCATAAAATGTAGATCCTACTGTCTTAAAGACAGACAATAAACAGGAAAATAAGTTGACAACCATTATCATTTCAGGTAATAATATGGTTTGGATGTGTGTCCCCTGCAAATCTCATGTTGAAATGTAATCCTCCATGTTGGAGATGGGGCCTGTGGGGAGGCTACTGGATTCTGGACGTAAATTTCTCATGACTGTCTTAGAATTCTCTTAGCAACAGGTGAGCCCTCCTTCAGTTAGTTCACGCAAGACCTGCTTGTTTAAAAGAGTCTGGGACCTCCCTCTTCTCCCCCACATCTCACCATGTGATGCACCTGCTCTCCCTTTGCCTTCCACCATGACTGGAAGCTTCCTGAGGCCCTCACCAGGAGCAGATACCAGCTCCATGCTTCCTGTCCAGCCTGCAGAATCGAGAGCCAATTAAACCTCTTTTCTTGATCAATTACCCAGCCTTAGGTATTTCTTTACTGCAACGCAAAAGAAGACTAACACAGGTAATAATAAGTGCTGGAGCAGAAGTCTAAAGAAGTGAGGATGCAAGGATCCTGAAGACAGCATTCTAGGAGGTGAGTGCAGGAAATATGAAAGCCATGTGATGAGAACACTTTATTCTCATAAATAAAGTGGTATCTGAGTGCTTGCTATGAAGGGTACAAAATACAGTAACAGATGAAAAAGGAATTGGGAGTTGAAGAGAGATTTATTGATTTTGCTAATTAATTTTTAAACATAATATAGGATGTTATCCCATGTTGGTATGCCAAAGGGATGAATCACTAGAAACAGAAAATCAATGATACAAGAGAAAGATGTCAAGTCCTTGAATAGGAAAGAGGGCTAGGGCCCTGTGTACAGGTGGCAGATGCCCTGGGCCGAGGCTGTGGTAGGCCATCCCTTGCAGCAGGGAGAAATGCAGAGGATAGAAAAACAGCCACAAGAAACATTCCTGGATGCTTAGGGAAATTGCTTTTCTCTTAAAAATTTCCAAAAATTCATCTTAAGCACCTATTAAATGGCTCATCTGGAGCTGAAGGTTTGGCGCTGCCTGCCAAGCAATGATTCGGGGTTCTCAGCCAATCCCAGGAGAGTAAAAGCTGGGACAGGAGGTCAGAGAACACATTCTCCTCCATCTGTGCATGCCTTCAATAAACGTTGGATTGACTGGAATTATGAGAAACTAAAATCATTTGTTGAAGATCTGCTTAAAAGATATTTACAGATGGTGCAGAAAACCATTATACCGAGGAAGGAATTACAGCTTCCCCAGACAGTGTTGGAACTGTCCTGAGAAAATAGGTCTGAAGGTAGGAACCTTGTCCTGATGGGATGCTTCACCACTGAGAACTGGGAGGGGTCCATTGACTCAGTGTCTGTGTGATGACATGACCTCTTCATAGGCAGCAAAATCCCAGGAGAGCAGATCTCCCAGATAGAAAAAGGGACCCCCTTCACATCATGTTCTCTCATAGGCTTCTTCCTGAAGTCTGAGGCCTGAACCCCCAAATACTGTGAATAAAAAGATGTTTTAAAATTTATTTATTTATTTTGTTTGTTTGTTTGTTTGTTTGTTTGAGACGGAGTTTCACTCTTGCTACCCAGGCTGGAGTGCAATGGCACAATCTCGGCTCACCGCAACCTCCGCCTCCTGGGTTCAGGCAATTCTCCTGCCTCAGCCTCCTGAGTAGCTAGGATTACAGGCACGCGCCACCATGCCCAGCTAAATTTTTTTTTGTATTTTTAGTAGAGACGGGGTTTCACCATGTTGACCAGGATGGTCTCGATCTCTTGACCTCGTGATTCACCCGCCTCGGCCTCCCAAAGTGCTGGGATTACAGGCTTGAGCCACCGCGCCCGGCCTGATTTTTTAAAATTTAAATTTAAATTTTCGAATCAGCAGGTACACATGCAGGTTTGTTACAAGGGTCTATTGTGTGATGCTGGGGTTTGGGTTTTTATTGATCCCATCACCCAGATAGTGGACATAGTACCTAATAGGAAGGTTTTCAGCCCTTGCTCTCCTCTCTCTCTCCCTTCTTTTGGACTCCCCAGTGTCTATGGAAGGGTATTTCCTAGGTTTTCTTCTAAGATTTCAAAGCTTGAGGTCTTACATTTAAATCTTTAATCCATCTTGAGTTAATTTGTGTATATGGTGATAGGTAGGGGTCTGGTTTCATTCTTCTGCATAAGGCTAGCCAGCTATCCCAGCACCATTTATTGAATAGGAAGTTTTTCCTATTGCTTATTCCCTTTCTCCTATTTCCTTATTCCCCTTTCCCCATTGTTTATTTTTGTCAACTGTCAAAAATCACTTTGTTGTAGGTGTATGGCTTTGTTTCTGTGTTCTGCATTTTGTTTTATTGGCCTATGTGTCTGTTTTTATACTGTACCATGCTGTTTTGGCTACCATAGCCTTGTGGTATAGTCTGAAGTCAGGTAATGTGATGTCTCCAGCTTTGTTCTTTTTGTTTAGGATGGTTTGACCTTTCAGACTCTTTTTTGATTCCATATGAATTTAAAATACTTTTTTCTAAATCTGTGAAAAAATGGCATTGGTAATTTGATATAGATAGCATTGAATTTGTAGTTTGCTTTGGGCAGTGTGGCCATTTTAACAATATTGATTCTTCTAATCCGTGAGCATGGGATATTTTTTCATTTGTTTGTCTTGTCAATGATTTCTTTCAGCAGTGTTTTGTGATTCCAATAAGTAGACATCCTTCACCTCCTTGGTTAAATGTATTTCTAGTTATTTTATTTTAGGTGGTAGCTATTGTAAATGGGATTATATTCTTGATTTGGCTCTCAGTTTTAATGTTATTGGTGTAGAGAAATGCTGCTGGTATTTGTACATTGATTTTGTATCCTGAAAGTTTACTGAAGTTGGTTATCAGTAATAGAAGTCTTCTCATGGAGACTAGACTATGGGGTTTTCTAGGTATAAAAGTATATTGCCTGTGAAGAAAGATAGTTTGACTTCCTCTATTTCTATTTGGATGCCTTTTATTTTTTTCTCTTGGTGGATTGCTCTGGCTGGGACTTCCAACACTACGTTGAATAGAAGTGGTGCAAATGGGCATCCTTGTCTTTTTTTTCATTCCTCAAGGGGAATGTTTCCAGCTTTTGTACATTCAGTATGATGTTGGCTGTGGGTTTGTCATAAATGGCTCTTGTTATTTTTAGGTATGCTCCTTCAATTCCTAGTTTATTGAGGCTTTTTGTCATTAAGGGATGTTGGATTTTGTTTAAAGCTTTTTCTGCATCTATTGAAATGGTCACATGGTTTTTGTTTTTAATTCTGCTTCAACGGTGAATCCATTTATTGATTGTGTATGCGGAACCAACCTTGTATCCCAGGAATAAAGCTTACTGATTGTGGTGAATTAATTTTTGATGTGCTGCTGGGTTTGGTTTTCTAGAATTTTATTGAGGATTTTCATGTCTATGTTCATCAGGGATATTGGTCTGTAGTTTTTGTTTTGTTTTGTTTTGTTTTTGTTTTTTTCATTGTGTCTGTGTCAGATTTTGTTATCAGGATAATGCTGGTTTCCTAGAATGAGTTAGGGAAGAATCCTTCCTCCTCAATCTTTTGGGATAGTTTCAGTAGGATTGGTACCTTCTTTGTATTTCTGGTAGAATTCGGCTGTGAATCCAACTAGCCCAGGACTTTTATAGGTTGGTAGGTTTTTTATTACTGATTCAATTTCAGAACACACCAATCGTCTGTTCAGAGTTTCAGTTTTTTCCTGATTCAATCTTGGCAGGTTATGTGCTTCCAGGAATTTATCCATTTCCTCTAGGTTTTCTAGTTTGTGTGCATAGAGGTATTCCCAATAGTCTCTGAGGATCTTTACTATTTCTTTGGGACCAGTTGTAATGTCACCTTTGTCATTTCTGATTGTGCTCATTTGGATCTTCCTTCCCCCCTCCCTCCCTCCCTCCCTCCCTCCCTTCCTTCCTTCCTTCCTTCCTTCCTTTTCTCTCTTTCTCTCTTTCTTTCTTCTCTTTTCTTTCTCTCTCTTTCCTTCTTTCTTTTTCTTTCTTTTCTTTCTTTCTCAATCTAGCTGGTGGGCTATCAGTCTTGTGTATCCTTTCAAAAAACTAACTTTTCATTTTGTGGATCCTTTGTATGTTTTGGGAGGGGTCTCAATTTTGCTTAGTTATGTTCTATTTTAGTTATTTCCTTTCTTCTGCTAGTTTTGAGATAGCTTGTTCTTTGTTTTTTTAGTTCTTTTTGTATAATGCAATGTTAGATCATTAATTTGAGATCTTTCTATTTTCTTGATGTAGACATTCAGTGCTATAAACTTTCCTCTTAACACTACTTTTGCCTAATCCCAGAGATTTTGGTATGTTTCAAAGAATTTGTTTCAAAGAATTTGATTTGATAAAAAGACTTTTGTAGTTAACAATGAGGGAAGTCTTTCCGTGTTGGAAATCTGGAGTTCTAGTATATTCCCCTGGTGATCTAGCACTTCCTGCAGTGGGAATTGTGGGATTTTCCTGCTAAGCTTGTAATGTTGGAAGGATAGTCATTACTCAAGAGTCTTACACTCTGCCTATTAATCACACAGAGGCAGGAGAGTATGTTGACTAGTTTCTCACTTTGGACCTGAAGCTGCTTTTAACAACCCACCTATAACAACCCACAAAGACCCACACTGGGCCAACAAGCATGAGAAGTCCCTTGATCTAACTCCACTGCACAGTGGGGTGATCAGTGGGGTTCTGAAAAGCCCTTGGAATGTCACATACTTGCGCCTTTCCTTGTCCCCCAGTAGCTGCGTCATCCATGGATACTCTTTCTTTCCCACCCTTGCCACTTCCTGTGCTCACCTGGATACTCCTGCCTCGCTCCCCTCAGCTTCCCACTATGGTGTCTCATATCTCTTTGGCCTTCTATGGGGGCTGTCAGACCCATGGTCTGCCTTCATCTAAAGATGAGTTAATAAGGGCTACAGACACAGGCAGGTAGAGAGGGAAATTTAGAAAACCAGCTCTAAAAGTCAAAGTTGTATAAGATAATCAAATCTTTCAGATTTTCAAGAATATCCTCCTCCTAGCACAACTCCTCTGCCTTCTTCTCATCTCCCCACTGATGTCTGCTCTGTCTGCAGAAAGGGGTTAGGGTGAAGAAATAGACCCACCCTGCCAGGAAGCCTTCACATCACAGTGGCTGTCTGGGATCCAGAGCTGGGTACATAGCAAGTTGATTCCTAAGACCCTGGACAGCACATACAAGCTAAAAGCGTGCTTTTCTCTATGGGATGGTCCAGAAAGAATACCGTGCTTCAAAGCGATTCTGCATACAAGGTGGTAATTGCAGCCTAGGGAAGGGCCCACAAGTAAGGAATGCCCCCAGGACTTGCATTAAGTTGCGGAAGAGCACAGTTAACACATCAGGTTACAGACCTTACCAAAGTGGAGGCTCACAGGCCAAAGAAAGGCTAATTAGTTAATTGATTAATTAGCATATCTAAAGAAAGTATCTGTGGAAACAAAGTAGCACTAGGTCAGCTTGGAATCTAGAAAGAGCTCAAGCAGAAAGGCATACTTGGGAAAGCCTTGCTAAAGGAGTCAGTCCTGACCTGTAGCATAAGCCAGCTGTTCAATCACCCTCCCCCTGGCTTAGGAGGTGAAATGCAAACACCTGTGGAGTCCCCAGCCTCTACCACGGATAGATCCAAACACTTTTCGCTTGTTTCTGCTCTGCCCCTGCTTCCATGATAGGTAGGTTGAGACTGAGAACGTTGTGTACCCAGGAGCGAGGGTCCTGCAATTGCTTCATGAGATGGGGCATGGGACAAAAGCACCAAGTACAAGGTCAACAGAACTATCCAGACTGGAGGCAACACACCCGCCTTTCACCCCAGCTGGTTAAAGCCTTTTTTCAAATTCTTTAGTAAACAGGAATCAGGTCATTAATTTTAAAACCCTGCCCTAGAGTATGGGTGATTTAGTTGTATCAAGGGTCCCTAAGACCACCACCAGGCTCAGTGATTTGCTAGGAGGACTCACAGGATTCCACATATAGCCATGCTCACAGCTAAAAGTGATTACAGCAGAAGGATACATAGCAATTATTTCATAGGCAAAGGGAATAGGCACATGGGGAGAAGTCCAGAGAAAGCCAGGTGCAAGCTCCCAAGGGTCTGCTCTCAGTGAATTCACACAGGACACACTTAATTCCTCTAGCAACAAATTCTAACTACACATGTGAAGTACTGTCTGTCAGGGAAGCTCGTTAGAGACTCAGTGCCTAAGATTTTTTATTGGAGTTTTGTCATATAGGCACCCTCTGCCTAGCATGTAACAAGACTCCAGGCTCTCAGACAGAAGGCAGGTGTTCAGCACAAACTCTTTCATTTGTACAAATGGTGTAAGTCCAGTGAGCCACCCTTATCATTGATGGAAAGTTTTTTTATCAGTGTAGGGAATTATGCACTGGCCAAGTTCCTGGATGCCAGCCAAGGGCCAAGTTTACAAGCAGACCTTTCTAAAGAGCACAGTCTCAGGCAGCTGTGGTGACTGTTTCCTGCACAGGTGTATACAATTAAACTCATGTTATCCATACAGTAACACTATAAAGTTCTCACAAGCATAGGTTCAAGCATGAACAAATCCTGTGCTATGTTCTTGAAGTCCCAAGATAAAACCTTCCTCTAAATATTGAGGTGGATATATTTTTTTCCACCAAGAGGAGCCCATGTTTGACTGCCAACAAGATTCTAGTGCTCCCATTAGCCAAGTGTGGTGGTGCATGCCTGTATTCCTAGTTACTTAAGAGACTGAGGCAGGAGGATCCCTGGAGCCTCGGAACTCGAGGCTGCAGTGAGCTATGATTGCACCACTAAACTCCAGCCTGGGTGACAGAGTAAGACCCTGTGTCTAAAAATAAATAAATAAATAAATAAAGATTCTAGTGTTCCAAGCTGGCAAAACATGCCCAATCCCACCCCTCCCTTCTACCACCACCTTGTATCCTGGCCCTTCAATGAGTTCGAGCTTTCAAGCCATCCCGATTATTTGGGGTGCTAAATGTTATACACAAATTGTCCCTTTCTCACCCTTCCCCAAGCCAGAATTGATCAGCATGGCCTCCCCAGCCCCTGGCTCCCAGATCCAGAGGAGGTCACGCTGCTCCAGAAGTACTTCAGGGGACCCCCTGGAGGCTGCACACAGTGAAGCTCAGACAAGAGCCCTTCCCTCTGAGTTATTTAAAGGCGTCTCTACTCTGCTCCCTCCTCTCTCCTTGCTCCCTCACCTCCTTCTACAGTCGGGACATTATTGTCTTATTTTTGCCCTTCAGAAGCAAACTGTCAACACAGTGACCTTTTCTTTAGACAGTTGTTTAAATATTCTGTGATCTATGACTTGAGCCACCCTGAAGTCAACCTCGAATCTACTCAGTGGTAGTGACTTGATTGCTCTTGGACCCATGGAGACCTTAATCCTCAGCCCCGTTTTACACAGTGATGACTTTGCCCGGTTTATTTTCTTTCTTCAAAGGATGGCGTTAGGGAAGCAGTGAGGGGGGAGGTGGTTACCCCTTTGGGTCTACTCAGTGCAATTAGTCCATTCATAGAGGCTAGACCGGGGGGCCCTCCACACCCAGATCATTACCTCAGTAGGAATTCCCCTTCTGTTTTTTTTTTTTTTTTTTTTCTTTTTTCTCCAAGTGTAGAATCCGGACTGCCTATGTGTGAGGGGCTGGGGGTGTTTCAGGACAAATGACATCATGTAGCCCCATAGAAACAGATGTTCAGACTTTCTGTACTTCATGAACTCAGTTTCATGCCATCTACTGGAATGGAAACTGGCCAGGCCATCCGGAGGGAGCTTCTAAGACGGGTGGGTGGGACCTCACTGCTTTCCTTTCACTGAAACAGGAAGGGCCTGGGCTGGAATATCTTAGTGAGCACAACCAGAAATGGGCATGGAAAACCAGTGCTCAACCCACAGTAGGTGAGGACTCCAGCTCCACTGAACAGATTTGTAAGCTAGATGCTGAAGTAATTTTTCCGCTCCACCTCCCCCACTCCACTCCCCCCAGAAAGGCATGAGATATTTTTAGCAGGAAAAATAAATGCCCCATAAAAACGAACATAAAAATACCATATGAAGGACAGGGCACCCTCCCACTGGTTTCCAAGAGATCCCTGGAGTGACCATTAAATTCAACAGGCTTTGAAGCTGGCATTGGAGGAGTGGATGAGCACAGGCCAGTCCTAGTCTGAAAAGATCTGGGGAGTGGAATAGAAAGAAGAAACTGGCCAAAAGAACCCTGTGCTTAATGAAGGAGAGTATGGGATCGGGGAGAAATTCACAAAGTACACCATGTGCCTCTTCTGTGAGCTCATGACCATTTTGCCTGCCAAGTCCAATGACCTTCCCTCCACGCACGTCTCCCTGACCGTTCCGTGGCATCTGATCCATTCCTCTTGCCGCTAGCCTCTGTGGAACTGTTCTTTCTTCATGCTCCCCTATTTCTGCCCCAAGCTTAACAGAATAAAATCTGAGGTCCTCATTTTCCTCCCAAACCAGCTTATTTCTTTATTTCCCTCTCAGTGAAAAGCATTTCCAGGTCCTCAGGCCAAAACCTTGAAGCCACCCTTGACTTCTCTCTCTCACACCCCACCCCAATCCAGCAGATCCTGCTGCTCCGCTCCCCAAATACATCGGAACCTGACCACTTCTCACCACCTCCCCGTTCCCATGTGGTCCAAGCCCTCGTCATTTCTCACCTGGCTTACTGCACAGGCTGCCAGCTTGACCTTCGTTCTCTGCACTTGCCCCCTCGGGCCATGGGTTCTCAATGCGGTCATCAGACTGATACTGTTAACATGAAAGTCAGATGGCAATCTCTGCTCAAAGCTTTCGAAAGATTTCCACTCCTACCTAGGAGGGAACCCCAAGTCCTTACAATGGCCTTCAAGGCCTCAAGTGGTCTAGCCCCTTGTTAATTCTGACCTCTTCTCTTCCAAGCAAGCCCTGTTAACGCACTGCTCCAGCCACATGGGCTCCAAGCTAGTTCTCTCATCTCCAGGCCTTTGGACATGTGATTCTGTCCTCCAAAAATGCTTTCCCCACCAGACGTCTTCACAGCTCACTCCCTCACTTGCTCCAGGTCTTCAGGTGAGTGCCGCTTTCTTGGTCACTCCATCTGAAACTGCAACCATCTTGACATTAAAAAAAGAAAATTCCCTTCTTTCCTTTATTTCTCACCTTAGAACTCATCTCCAGCTAACCTATTACAGAGGAAACTGACTGTCTTGCTTATTTCCTCCCCCCTCCTCCACTAGAATGTAAACTCCATGAGGGCAGAAATCCTTGTCTCTTTTTTGTTTGCTTGTTTGTTTCTGCTGCTGAGTCTCCAGCAGAACCTTCTATTGAATGAACAGAATTAATGAAGGAGCGGATGTATCTACTAAAATCCACAACCACTTCCGACCTCCCTGCTCTTGATGCTGTCATCAGTACTTGTCACATCTTCCAGCTCTCGGGAGCTGTTCTGGCCCATACCCCTCCTGTGCCACTTGCCTCTAATCAGACACCGACTCCTCTGCCATGGATCTTCCTTCTGAGAAACCCAGTGGTATGACGGGGCAGACCAGTCTCTGCTCAAGTCACAAGAACCAGGACAAACTTTTCAAAATGCTTCAGAGCAAGTGGCTTCAACAAACTCCAAATGTAAAGTGGGTTTAATAACATCGACTTCCGTAGGTTATTGTGAGAATGGCATGGGGTAACCTGTCTATCATGCTTCTCCCGGTGCCTGACAGAGTCACCGCTTCCCTTCCCACTGTGCTTGTGCTATTTTAAATGCCTCTGACTCTGATGGCTACGACTCTCTTGAAGGTCTCTTCAGTCTTCTCGCTGGGCCACCCAACTTGTCCACTGCTGCATAATTTCTCCAGGTTACTTCCTGGTTCAAAAGTCTTTGTGTGGCCAGGTGCAGTGGCTTATGCCTGTGATCCAAGCTCTTTGAGATCCCCAAGCAGGAGGATCACTTCAGGCCAGGAGTTTGAGATCAGCCTGGACAACATAGCAAGACCCCATCTCTACAAAAAATAATATTAAAAAATTAGCTGGGCATGGTAGTACATACCTGTAGTCCCAGCTACTCAGGAGGCTGAGGCAGGAGTATGGCTTGAGCCAGAAGTTGGAGGCTACAGAGAGCTATGATCACTCCACTGCACTCGCCTAGTGACAGAGAAAAACCCTTCTCAAAAACAGACAAACAAAACCCCCAAATCTTTGCATTCCTTCCAAAGGAGGAAATGTTTCATTTAACCCAGCCATGTGCAGTTAAATATGATCAACCAAATGAACTCATTTCATGCATTCAACTCAAGCAAGCTGATTTCTTCACAGGAGCTGCCCAGGAAATGCTTCAGTGAAGCCCCCCATGATGTGTGTAGGGTCAGTTCATCAGCTGAGCTGTCTTACCACTTATAGACTTCCAAGCCCTACTTGTTCTTCCTTGTCTCTGAGTCACTGTGAATGCTGTCCGTGAACCTAAAATGCCCTTTGACTCTTCCCCCTCCCCCTCTTTGCCTATTAAATAGCACTACACTCACCAGAGTTCCAGCCATTTGTGGGGCAGAGACAAAAGGATCACTTGAAGCCAGGAGTTTGAGGCTGCAGTGAGCTATGATCACACCTGTGAAGAGTCATCACACTCCAGCCTGGGCAACACAATGAGATCCCGTCTTTCACAGAAAAGTAAAAAAATAAAAAATAACACCACATCCTTCAGCAGCATTAAGGCAGGCCCTCCTTTCAAAAGCCCACTGTGCCTCCTTCCTGAGCTGAGCTTCACTGCCCCTCTGCTGTGCTCCCACCACATCCGTGCTTACTCCAAAGAGGCATGTACTACGTTGAATTGCATTTGCCTGTTGAGCCATCTACCTCTCCAGCCCAGGCTCTGAGCCCTGGTGGGCAGGGACCATGCCCAATTCATCCGAGTGAACTGGTGCCAAATACAATATTTGGCACATGGTAGGTGTGGAATAAACGCTTTCTGAATGAATGAGCAGGTCAGTAAGTGAGGAATGGATGACTCAATGGCTAAGTGAAGGCTTATGAGGGCAGGAAAGACAGGAAAAGCATGCCTGTTAGGAACAGACCCAGAACGGCACCCCCTAACCCCTCGTCTTCTGTCCGAGGTCCTCTCCTCTCTGCCCTGCACACACTTGTTTTCCGTGAGCCACCTCACCCAACCCGGAGGCTCTCTTCCCATCTGAGTTTCATTGATTGCCAAAGCAATGGTCCCAAACTCGGTGCCAAACTTAAGGCAAGCTTTTCAAAAAATGTGTTTCTTGCCTATGGCTTTTCCATTTGAATTTTTATAGCCACCACTTCCTCCAGGAGATGACTTGTCTCTCTGGATTGGAGGTGTGTCTGCATTTCAGGAACAAGCAACTTTTCTCTGTGGCTGTGGGCTGTACACTCTGAACCCCTACCATCGGAAAGGCAACTCCTGCTATGTCCTGTTCAGAAAGGATTTTAGCAGGTTTGATGAAGGCAAATGCATTCCTATCACCATGGAGACGTGGTATTTCTCGGTGACAGAGAACAGAGAAGCAAAGTTAAACTTACTTGCATTGCAGTGTAGCAGAAAAAGTAAAAATTCAGAGCCTGGATGTGTAGGGCAGGCATGGGGAATTTCTGGCCTCCAGCTCTTGGCTCAATTTTCTTCCAGCCTTTGGCAAATGTGACAAACCATGGTTATATTAATGAAGAATGATATTTATCAGTCAGATACCACCCAGTGCTGGAAAGGCCCCAGAGCCAATCGGAAGGTAGTGGGTGGCGACACATTTTAAAGCACGTTCCGCTTGTTCCACTCCATTTCAGAATTCATTTGGGCTTCCTACATTTCAAGTCAACTCTCTTTTTGAAATGCCTGTAGATTCTCCAGAACCTGTGCTAAGTTTTAGGGCAATTTGTTATGCAGCAATAGATAATTAATACAGGAACTGCTTAATGTTGTAATGAGATGCTGGCTAGGTGTTTCTAAAANTTTTTTTGCTTTTTGCCCTTGTTTTATATGTTGACCAAAGCTATAAAGTCAGATGCTTTGAAAGATGGAAAGACCCTTAGAGATTATCTGATCTAACCCCCTCATTTTACAGGCTAGGAAACTGTCAGAAGTGACTTTAACTTTGAATTTTACGAGGTCTGTTTGTGTTGACAACATGATTGATTGCTCTGCTTCCAAGACTGAAGATTTGCAAGTGGAAATATTTTAAAAAAAAGAAAAAAGAAAACAACTCAGTGCTCTTCCTGATGGGTGGGAAAGTAAGGTAAAACCTTTTGTTTTTGTAACTGTTTCTGTGCCACGCACTCCGCCAGATAGAACGCAAGACCTCTCTACCTGGTTTAAGCCTACCACTGTCAGAATAACCACGGGAGGAATACCTGGAGACTGTTGCTACTGGTCTTAGGAAAGTATCCAATGATCAGAGGTCACTTCCCCACTTTGAGGGTGTTCAGACTGACAGAAAAGACTAAAGACCTCCGAAGCAATGACACGTCCAAGCAGTCAGCAGCACCCACTGTTCCCAAAGAGTTTCTCTTGGGGCTTCTGGCCAGTTGAACTCCTTAACAAATCAGATCCTGCTCACGACAGCTGTGCACAACCCTGCCTCTGTTGAACAGGGACTCTGTGCGGCCAAAGCAGGCTCCATGATAATGAGGCACAGCTTGGTTTGGGCATTGTAGACAGCTTAGGCTGTTGTGTAGGAAGCTGATGCCTAGAATCACTCTGGAACAGGCGCAACGTTCAGAGCTAGAAAAGCAAAATCAAAACCTGTTTGCAGAGCCCGTGGATAAGATCAGGAACAGCAAACGGGTTTCACGTCCACTCTGACTGGCTGTGCCTGCCTGGAGTATGGCACTGAGAAGGGTTGTGAAGCTGTGAGTCAGAGGAAAGACACATGGCTAGGGATCAGGAGTGCCTGCATTAGGCCTAAGCAGGGGAAAGCAGCAAGTGTACTATGCCTTTTCTTTATTTTATTTTATTTTAGCCAAGAATTACCTGTAAAAAGTCAAAAAGTGCTTCCATTGATGCAACACAGCAGTCCTTTTCAGGTAATCTTACCAGCAGGCTCCCTTTTCTCACTGAAGAGCCATGTTAGCAATAAACTTTGGCTAGAGGGTGCTGTGGAAATGGTAGAATATGGAGATTATTCTGTGAAAAATTATAAGTGATTTGAGAGTAGAAGCAAAAAGCTATTGGCACTAGCCAGAATACATAGAAAATAAAATATAAACTCACTTTTGTAATCCATCTGGGATGGCATGGATTGAATGGATCGACAAGGGTGTGTGGTTGAATAGACAACATTCTTCACCTGCCAGCGCAGAGCCCTAAAATGAACACTTAACCACCATTGAGGGTGGGAGGCAGCTGTTTGATGGTGGTGGTTGGGGGAAAGGGGAGGTGTAAGCCTCATAATGAGGGCAGTGATTGGAAATTCTATTGTCTCAGCTCAGTTGAGGAAACCAGTAGCCTTAAATGGAGGATAAAACTGATGGACCAGGCAACAGATGGGGCCATCACACAGAGCAGGCCTGGGATGTGCCTGTCAAGGAGAAAAGAAGCCCTCCCTGTCCACTCACTGATGGGAGAGCCAGTCCAGAAGCACGAGCCCAGAAGCAATCTGGGTGTCTACACGGAGGAATGATTCTTGTCATTCTTAAGGCTGTTCTAGATCCTGTTTCCTGATATTTTCCCCATGTGTGTGGGACACAGGGGAAGCTGTGAAGGGAGGCACAGGTACTTTTTATATATCTCTTCAGATTATTTAATTTTTATTTTCTAGTTCTTACTATGGGGCGTTACATGGATTGATCTGTCAAATGTTAGGCCAACTTTACATTCCTGGGATGAAATCCACTTGGTCATGACCTATTATCTTCTTATGTATCATTGGATTTGATTCACTAAAATACTGCTAAGAAGTTTTGTGTCTATGCTTGCTGTGGGAAAATAGCCCACTGCATGGCAAGAGTGGTGCCATCTTGAATTGAAACAGCCATGATGGCTGTTGTTTGACTCTTGCATGCCAAAGGGATCTGCGGCAAGGCCTTTAAACAATGCCCATAGCTTAGATAACCCATCATAAAGATGCTTATCTAACCTTCTCAGTAGTCGAGTTTCACAAGAAACACAGATGTGACTCGCTACCACATATTTTACCAAAAAAACTTGTAATATTTTCTAAAACTTGATTGTAGCGATTCCACTGCCTCTCAGCAACCCGACATCACTTCTATTTGTAAGTTCCTATTAAATGTTTCTTTTTAAGAAATTGAATTTGTCAGCCCTTTTATTTAGCCTCTCAGCTTCCTCGGCCTTTGGGGGCAGGCTTACATATACCTGCTCACTGCAGAACATTTGTCTTCGTCTTTTTTGTGTTGCTATAACATAATATCATAGACTGGATAATTTATAAAGAAAAGAGACTTATTTGACTCACAGTTCTGGAGGCTGGGAAGTTCTATAGCATGCTACCCACGTCTGGTGAGGACCTTCTTGCTGCATCATAACTTGGCAGAAGGGCAAGAGAGCATGTGAGACAGAGAGAGGCACCAGGTGCTGGACCCACTTTTATCTGTCACTCTTGTGACAACTGACCCGTAATAACTACATCAACCTATTCATGAGGGCTTCACCCTGATGATCCAATCTCCTCTTAATAGGCCCCACCTCCCAACACTGTTGCATTGGGGATTAAGTTTCTAACGCATGAACTTTTGGGGAACACATTCAAACTGTAACAATGTTCATGAGAGATTTGAGACTGAAATTTTCTTTCTTATAATGTGTTTGGTATTGGTATTAGACTAGTACTGAACTTAACGCATGAGGTAGGAAGTATTTCCTCCTCTTCAATTTTCTGGAAGAGTTTGTGCAGAATTAGTATTATTTCTTTCTGAAATATTTGATAGAATTTACTAGTGATGCCATCTGAGTCTAGAGTTTTCTTTCTGGGAAGGATTTTTTTTTAATTTTTATTTTAAGATAGACTCTTGCTCAGCTATCTTAGTGTATGTGTGTGTGTGTAGGGGGGTGCTTAAATGTAATTTCATTATAGTCTGAAAACATATTTTGAGTTGAATTGTTTTCAATTTATTAAGGCATATTTTGTATCACAGAATATTGTCTGACTTAATACATATTCCCTATGCACCCGAAAAGAATGTGTATTATGTTGTTGTTGAGTGGAATACTCTATAAATATAATTATAAAAATAGTTTGGTTTATGGTATTTACTGTATTTTTTAAGTCTTCTGTGTCCTTACTGATTTTCTGCTTGTGCTATCAATTACTGAAAGAAGATTCTGAAATTTTTGACTCAAATTATAATTTTGCCTATTTCTTCTTTCAAGTTTATCAGTTTTTACTTCACATATTTTGATCCTCTGTTACTTGGTGCAAAAAATTGAGAATTGTTATGTCCTTTGAGATATAAATGACCCTTTTATCATTTTGGAATGGCCCTCTTTATATTTAAAATATATTAAAATACAGTTATTCACAATATTATTCTATTTTTAAAAAATTTCGTATGCAGCTGCTATTATTTCCCCATTTATAATTCTGTTTTGTTTATGTATGTCATCTTTCCTTTATCTTGAAGAGTCTTTCCAGAAGACCATCTTTTTTATCTTTTTAAAGAAGCAACTTTTAATTTTGTTGCTCTCCATTATTATTTGTGGTTACTATTACTATAAATTGTATTGATACAGAGCTAAAAAGAAATTATTTAGGCAGTTAGTGAGGGTAAGGGAGTCCTCAGTAAGGTTTTCCTTTTAATAAAACCCAGCCCCCAAATCATTTCTTTTCTAACAAAATCAAGCTGCAAGCATAGATAAGCAAGCTGAAAGCTTGTATAGGTAAATGCCAGCAGCTGTGCCTATAGAAAAGGCATACCTAGAAGTCAAGTGTATTCAACATGGAAGTTTCCTCTTCCCTTTTCTTTGTCGCCACGTGTTCAGGTAACACGGCACTGGCCAGGTAAATACCCCATTTGCATAATAAAAAATTAGAGTGGGTTGGCTAGCTCTTCACAGGCTATGTAAATGGCACACCTGGTCCAACCAATCCACTATACCCTATGTAAATCAGACACTGCCTCCTCAAGCTCATATATAAAACCAACCACCTCTCACTCCAAACCCAGAAACCCACTCAGGACCCCATCCTCTGAACAAGGAAGCTCTCTCTGCTGTCTTTCACATATTATTCTGCCCTTAAACTCATCCTTTGTTTGTCCTCATCTTCGATTTCCTTAGCACAAGACAAGGGACCTTGGGTATTTCCCCAAATGATGCCACTACAGTATTATTATTTTTCACGTTCTCTTTACTTTGGTTTCTGCCCTTAATATTTCCTTATTTCTAATATCTTTAGTTTGTTTTAATTTTTCTTCCTCTTCTTGAATAAAGAAGAAGTTTTCAATCTTTATTGATTGTGATAAATTTATTTAGATTTATAAATTTCCCTCTACTACGTTAGCTATGTTCATAAATTTTGGCTTAAATGCTTTCAGTTTATTCTGTTTAATATTTTCGTGAGTTCCTTTTTAATCTAATGATTGTTTTATGCTATTCAATATCCAGATTCATGGGATTTTTAAAAAGTTATTACCAAGAACTGTGAGGAGTATTACAGTTTATCTTACTTGCAAGTTAACAAAACAGCCAGTCACAGTTTCAAAAATGCTGGCAGAAGACATGAGGCTCCTGGATCAGAGACAAATAAATTAATTACTTCATTTTTCTCATTAGTTCCCCTTGCTTCCCAAGTCCCACAAGCGTAATATATACATGGGTCCAGGAGGATGCTGGAGGTGGGGTTAAATTACAGCTAAGAAATGCTGAGTTTAGGAAACACCAATCTTTATAAGGAACCTGTGAGCCAATGCACCCAACTTCTGCTCCAGTGGGAGATATTATCTTAATTTTATAGGACAGCAAACAAACCTGTTCCCTGCCATGAAGGGAGATACTATCTTTATTTTCCAAGGCTGTTTGCTATATAAACATCCTTCAAAATATAGTCCAGAACAAAAGCCAATAATGCCTCTGCTCAAAAGACATACAGAAACATGAGAAATCCATGCAGCATTCTCTCCCAACAATTATTCTTTTGTAATTTATTTTTAACAAAATTGCATTGTAGTCAGGGAACATAGTCTGTGCAATATAGATCTTTAGAACTATTTATGCAAAAAGGTGGGGAAAGTCTCCATGAGTTAGAGCACCACACACCACAGAACCTGCAGACCAACTTCATTCCCAGGATCTGCACCAGGCCTCTCATCCTTCAGGGAATCTTCCTTAAATATTAGGTTGTAATCCAGTTTATTGAGGGCCTGGAGAGAAACGGAATGAGGAAATAAATGCCTTAGGGCAGCTAGTCATCATACATATATTCTTACCAGATTCTCAACCTGGCAGGATCTTGAGGTTGCACTGATATTCTCCCCACCTCCCCAATCTTTCTATCCCACCCCCCAATACAGACACACATAAACACACACACACACACACACACACACACACACACACACACACACACACACACACACCGGGCATCTGGGCTGCTCTTGCTAATTTCTGTTCTACAGAAGTGATGAGGCCAAAAAAGTGATCCTGCCAAAGCAATGTAGAGGACAAGTAAGAGCAAAATTTATCCTCCACAGTTGCACCAACTGCTCCACTGTGTCCCACTCCCAGACTGCTATGAGCCTCTACACAAGCTCACAACTGTCTTTGGTCTCCTCTGGCCTCTCAGAGTTTTTATGTTAATTCCTCAGACCAGCAGGTCTTTTCCACTTTCAGTTTCTCAACCCTGGCTGCATATTAGAAGGACTTGAAAGGTATTTTTAAAATGTTACTGTCCAGATTCTGCTTCTGGAGATTCTGATACAATTGGTCTAATGTGGGCCCCCGATTAGCAGTAGATTTCAATGTTCCTTGGGTGATTCCAATGGCAATAAAGGTTTTCAATCATTGTCTCTAATTTCTACTGGGTCAATTTGGGGAAAGGGACCTCACAGCCCAGGTTCCTTAATTTTGTCAGGAACTAAAAACCTATATTTTGTTTAATGCTCAAATTATTGAATTTGTATACCTAATAAATACAGATTTTAAAAAGAAGTTATCTTGATGATTTAAGATGACTATAATTTCATTATATTATCTCAAATCATTTAAAATGCAATTATAAATTCACTATGGTTGATTTTTTTCCCAACACTTCAAATATCATAAAACTTTCACAAATGCAGTGACTACAAAGCTTATTATTAATATTACACTTACTCTTGAACCTATTCTAAAGTCTCAGAACAATGGACTTATTCATTTCTTTGATAATTTATGTGCTTGTTTTATACCTTTCTGGGGGATATTAGTATACTTATTTTAATATCTTCCTAGGGTTTCAGCAATATATTTTTATTTCTTCCCAGGGGTGGAGTAATATTACTAGACCCAAAAGAAAAAGTATATATGCTTGGCCCAGCCAAGGCTGCAGGATCTGAATTACTGGCTGGTCCATTTTTGGTCTGGCCTCAGGACTCATCATCAGGCTGAGTTAACTCCTAGTGTTACCACAATACAAATTTTAAAGTCACACCTTCATATACGTTTTATTTTTTTACAACCTGGTGTCTTTCAGGAAATGATGTACTTTTAAAATCTCACTTGGCCAACGTCACAAAACCCAAGGTCCTATCAGTATGATATATTGACTTGGTCTGCTACCTTTCTAAAGAATTACGTATTCCTTATTGATGTTTTATTAGAATGAGAGCGGGGCCATCTAGTGGTTTCATTTCCTATGAGATGAGACATTGGTTGTGCATAGTATACTCTTTCCGCTTTGACATATTTGACTAATTTCTCTGTTTAGACGACCCTCTCTATGTACAAAGTGTTTGTGATCCACCCCCAAATACATATGCTGAGATCCTAATCCCAATGTGATGAGATTAGTAGGTGGGAGGCCTCTGGGAGGTGCCTCAATGATGACTGCCCTCATGAATGGGATTGATGCCCACGTAAAAGCGAATCCTGAGAACTTGTTCATCCCCAGCACCATGTAAGGACACAGCAAGAAGATGCCATCTATGAGAAACAGGCCCTTATCAGTCACCAAATCTGCTTGCACCTTGTTCTTAAGTCTTCCCAGCCTGCAGAACTTTGAAAAATCAATATTTGTTGTTTGTAAGCTACCCAATCTATGGGATTTTTTAAATCGCAGCCCAAATGCACTGAGACAACCCTGTTGGACATTTCTTCTACTTGGTAATTTTATGTGATCATTGATCTTGATTAAATATGGGATTTTTTTGTCATCTGAAATTATTATATGTTAATCCCAGTACCAACCAATCCAGTCCTCCCTCTTCTTGAAGGAGGTTACTTGGTTCCATAATTTTATTTTTTTTCCTCAAAAATAAGTATGTGCATATATATTTATGTTTTTTATAAGACAGTAATTCAATAGGAGAAACAAAATTGCCATATATAAACAATGTTAACTTGTTAAAATCCATAAACAAAAAACATATTCATAATTGGTTACCTATATTTTATTATAACCATATTTTTGTATAATTATGTTAATTGTTGAATATAATTATAAATCCATGGCCTTTTATAGACTTAAGATGTTCCAAGTAACCATAATAATAATATTTCACACTAAAATTATCATAGCTTGGTCCATGAAAACCTTAAATTGGATCTTTGGCTTTTTGGTATTGTCCCTAACATTTTAAAAATAAGGTTTTAACTTTGTGGTAATAACAGGATATTCCAGGCTCATTTTGATTTTTTTTTTATTTCTCAGAACAAGAAGTCCTCTGCCCTCTGTAGAGTTCTGGCTTCTGTTTCTTGATAATAGTATTAGAATCGTGGTTATGGGTAGATGCATAAAAAAGGAGATGGGCAAAAGACCTACCAATGCTGTTGACCTACTTACACTAGAAAATGGGACTTTAAAAAATAAATCATGGTTTCCAAAAATTTTCAAATGTAAAGATGTGTGTATTAGTCCATTCTCACACCATTATAAAGAACTGCCCAAGACTGGGTAATTTATAAAGAGAAGAGGTTTAATTGACTCATAGTTCTATGTGGCTGGGGAAGCCCCAGGAAACTTACAATCATGGCAAAAGGGGAAGAGGCACACATTACATGGAGGCAGGTGAGAGAGAGTGTGAAGGAGGAACTGTTGGGTACTTATAAAACTATCAGATCTCATGAGAACTCATTCACTATCACAAGAATGGCATGGAGGACACTGCTCCCATGATCCAATCACCTCCCACCAGGTCTCTCCCTTGACATGTGAGAATTATGGAGATTGCAATTCAAGCTGAGATTTGGGTGGAGACACAAAGCTGTATCAGTGTTATATTGCTGAGCCCTACTTTTCTTACAGTAAATGGTATTACCTGATTCTAAGACTTTCTCCCCAGTAATAGCAGCCAGTTCAATAAACATATATGCCCCTACTAAAGTCCAAGCACTGTCCCTGCCTTGAGGGTTGCAGGATAGCACAAGATAAGCTGGATATAGCACGCTCCTCTCTTCTCCTTGCCATAGAACCTTAACTGTTCCTTGTCAGAATAGCTCATATCCCTTGCCACATAAAACCACTGGAAATAACTTCCTAGAAGCTGAGATTATTACAGGGATTTTTAAAAAATGGCAATGAAGGTCTTGGAAAATGAGGACACAAAGAAAGACTGAAGGCTGGAGACACTCAGGCACGAAGGGACAGAACAAAGGCACCCAGAGAATAATGGACTGAGAGGGAGGGAGTTGTGTTTTTATGATGAGAAATGTGTGGGAGAGCAAGCACTGAGGAGATGGAAGAGAAGATAGCAAGAGGGCTACAGAGAGATTTGGGACAAAAAGCAGAGGGAGAGAAGACAAATTTGGAGAAAATGATTGATACTGAGACAGGATTTGCAGCAAGATATGAGAAGATATGAAAATGCAATGTAGGGAGAGTAAAGGCAAAGAAGGACAAAGGAGGGGAAAAAATGAGAGAGAGATGCTCATCTAGTTTCTGTTCTGAACCATAAATACAAGTCATAGATTCACTGACTGAAACAACCATCTGGATTTGAATGCATTTAGCTGAACTAAAATCCACTGTGTAGGATATAGACTAATTAAGGTCTGAGCTCTGTGGGATTAGCGACATATTTCCATTTTCTCTTTTGCTTGGCTCTGTTAGGTATCAATCATCAGGCTTGTGTTTGGCGGCAGCATCTTCAAGTTCATCTTGTTGACCATTGTAGAGTAACAGGCTTTGTAAGCTCATCTACTACACCTCACTTTTCACTAACCATGGTGGCGATGACCTCTGCATTCTTACATTCAGTGCTGGGATTAGCTGAAAGTCAAAGACCTTGCTTGCTGCACACATGGTTGATGAGTCCTATCCTGTTACCACCTCCATCATGGTCAGCAGTCTATTCCACAGGGTGGAAGTCAGAAACATGAATCTTACTGATACTTAGAGCCTTCAATCTCTACATCACAGTCTTATGAAATGCTCAGCTACTGGCCACCTTCTCTCCCCATACACCAGCTCATGTTCAGCTGGACACATGGCTAGTGATTCACAAAAAAAAAGTGTTGGAAGAATGGCTTCCCAAATCTGCTACTCCAATGTCGGCTTGGGAAGAACAGCATAGGCCTTGTACACTTAAAAATGTGTAAAGTTAGCATTTTCAAAGTTGATTGCAAAATTTATTTGGATTCTTCTTCTTGTTCTTTTGTTGCAAAACGTTTCTTCTTGTTAATTGAGACTTCTATCACTGGGGCTCTTGACCTTCTCATGGTGGTGAGTCTAAAGTGGACTCCCTTCCAGACTTCAGGGAGAGGACAAAAGGGTGATGGGTCCAGTGTCAGCATCTTCCTAAGCATTAGACCCACAACTTGGCATGCAGAAGACTCATCTGGGAGCTTGTTAAAAATTCTGGGACCCACCCCCAGGGATTGGGTCTGAGGAATTGGAATGGAGACAGACAACCAAACTGTAAGATTCCCATAATGGGTTCCAAGGCCATTCTTTAAAAAAAGTGAGTATCATTATTTTTAATTGACATATAATAATTGCACATATTTATGGGGTCTAGTGTTACATTTGAATACATTCATTGAAACATGTATACAGGGTAACTAGCATATGACTCAGGCCATTGTTTGAGAAATATTTCCCAGGATAATGACAGTAGGTCTTTGCTTACAAGGTGTCTTGCCAGTCCTAAAAACACCTGTATGATCCCCTGTTGGTAGCAGGCACAGATGCATCTAAGTTCTCCTCCCAGACCACATGTCCTACCATCACCATGGTCAACATCAGTTCTCAACACAGATACCTGGTCACTATTAAACTTCACCTGCATCGCTGATGTGGACTCTTCATGAGCCTCACGTGTTGTTTAGTATAGGTGGTCCTATCTTTTACTGCACAATGAGTTCCTGTAAATCTGTTAAGAATCCAAAAGTTCAAGATAAAAATTTATGTGTTATGGAAGACCTTCATTCCCAGAAAGCCACACACACACACACACACACACACACACACACACACACACACACACACACAAAAACCCCCCCAAAAAAAGAAAGATAAAATCCATAGTAACATGTCCTGCCTTCTGGATTTCATCCTTGATATATATTTCCAGCAGTTGGTACATGTTCTTTCCATTTTGTTCTTTTCTTGTTCTTTATGGCACTTTCATCATGTTTAATGATATCCATCTTTGACTCTATTGTAGTGCCTGTGAAGTTTCACTCCTTATCATCAGTATCAGATTTACTTATTTTTTTCTACTCTCTGTGCTGTGCACACGTGGTGATGCTTACAAGACTGAACAGTTGGCTGCCAGGCAGAGCCACAATGGGATAGCTCAGAATGTTCTTTAAAGACTGGCTTATAAAAGCCTGAACTTCACATCTGGGAGGTGCATAGGACTCAAAGCTGCAGGATGTAAGGATGTTAAAAGTCAGAGGTTGAGAACCCTCTCTGTAATAGGAATCCAACTTAAATGAAACTAGTTTGTCTACCCAAATCCCAAAATAAAGCTTTATTACTCTTCCAGATATTTTTCTTTTTGTTGGGGAGGAGGGGAGACAGAGTCCCACTCTGTCACCTATGCTGGAATGTGGTGGCTCACTGCAGCCTCCACTTTTCAGATTCAAGCAATTCTCCTGCCTCAGTCTCTTGAGTAGTTGGGATTACAGGCACACGCCACCATTCCCAGCTAATTTTTGTATTTTTAGTAGAGATGGTGTTTCACCATGTTGGCCAGGCTGGTCTTGAACCCCTGGCTTCAAGTGATCTGCCCTCCTCGGCCTCCCAAAGTGCTGGGATTATAGGCATCAGCCACCATGCCCCACCCCATCCAGATATTTTTCTAAGTGCTGGAGATACAGCCATGAAGGAATGAGACAGACATGGTCAGGGAACTTACAGACTGGAGGATGAGACAGGTAGGTAAACGGGAAATTACAAATAAACTCTGTGAAAAGTTCAGGGTGCTGTGCGCACACTGATAGGAACACCTCAACAAAACCAAGCTGAGTATGGTTTAGTCAGGTGAAAAATTAAAAAGAAATATTGCAAAATGCCCAGGAATATAGCGACAAGAGACAGCCTCGTATGTATGGGAAATGGTAGTTTTCAAAATGGCTGCAACAATATTTCCTGTTTCACATGTTCTTCTGACAATGCAACTTTGATATTCTACCTGCCAAAGGCTGGGTCTATATGCTCTTGGATCTGAAAGTGATAAAGGCTATCTGTGAAAAACCTACAGGTGGCCAAGTACGGTGGCTCATGCCTGTAATCCCAGCACTCTGAGAGGCTGAGGTGGGTGGGCTGCTTAAGTCTAGAAGTTCGAGACCAGCCTGGGCAACACTGTAAAACTCCATCTCTACCAAAAATACAAAAATTAGCTGGAATGTGGTGGTGCGTGCCTGTAGTCCCAGCTACTTGGGAGGCTAAGGTGGGAAGATCACATGAGTCCGGGAGACATAGGTTAGAGTGAGCCATGATCACACTACTGTACTACAGCCTGAATAACAGAGCGAGACCCTCTCAAAAAAAAAAAAAAAGAAAGAAAGGAAAAATTAAAACCTACAGCTAAACTTATAATGATGAGATATTGAACATTTTGGCTCTAAGGTTAGGGAAAGTGGGAAAGGACAATAATGACCACTCTTACTACTTTTTTAAAGACATCGAACTGGCAATCCTAGCCTGTACAATGAGGCAAGAAAAAGAAACAAAATGTATAAAGACTGGTATGGAAGATGTAACACTACCTTTATTTGTAGAAAAAATGATTTTGTCTGTGTGGAAAATCCTAAGGAATTAATATTGCATGTTTACAGGATACAAAGTCAATATAGTAAATTCTCATTATTTATGGTAAATATGGTCCATAAAGTTGTCTTGAACACGAAATTCGTGAATACTGAACATTTGCTCCAATGGGAAATACAGGTTTAGGATCCTGTGAGACTCTGGGACAATATTTTTAGTCAATTAACACCTAATTTCGTTATATGTGTGTTTCTGTTTAACAGCATCTTTTAAAAAATACACATATTGTTGATTTATCAACATCAAACTCATGGCCAACAGCACTGTAACTCACGCCTCAACAAAGCTTGTCTAACACATTTCTCTGTGAAGTCAGGCACATCACTACCTTCTTGTGCTTAGATGCATTAGAGAGCACTTCAGGCCTACCCCTGGGGGCCATTGTAAACAGCAAAGTCATCAACAAAAAGCATGAAAATGCAATACACCTGTCATTAAATATACTGTGAAAGGACGCTTGTTTACTTTATGATAACTGGGACAAGCAGGGAGAGTACTGCCTTGCTTAACCTCAGCTGGGAACATTTGCACTGGGAGCTCAGATTATCCATCGCTTTGTGTATATCCACAAATGAATGTGGGGACTACACATGAATTTTAGTGAGTAGGCAAATTCACAAACACAAAATCTGCAAATAATGAGGATCAACTGTATATAAAAGTCAACTGTATCACTATGTATCACTACGTATTTGCAAAAAAAAAAAAAACCTTGGGAATGAAAATTTAAAACAGCAAAAAATATCAAATGCTTAGGAATAAATCTACTTCAGAAAAAAATTTTAAATGATCTAAATAAATGAAGAGTTATCTCATTTTCATGAATTGGAAGACCCTCTCCAATTTATCTATAAATTTAATATAATCCCACTAAAAATCCCAAAAGTCATTTTAAAAATAAATTGCCAAGCTGATTCTAAAACGTATATGGAAATGCAAAGACCTAGACTAGCTAAAACAATTCAAACAATTTTGTAAAACAAAATTGGAGGGGTTATATTACCTGTCTCCAAGACTTACATAGAGCTACAGCAATCAAGAATGTGCAGTAAAATTTGTGTAAAAATAGGAAAAAAAAAGGATAAATGAAATAGAATAGTATGTTTAGAAAGAGACTCACACATATATTGGTCAATTGATTTAAAAAAAATTGCCAAAGTAATTCAATGAGTGAAAAGACACTTTTTGTACCCAATTGTGCTGGAATGCTGGGTTTCCATAGAGAAAAGAAAATGAAATTATAACTCTACCTGAAACCATTCAGAAAAATTAATTCAAGGAGAATTATTGGTCGTGAATGTAATAACTATAAAGCTTCTAGAAGAAAGCAGAAGATAATATCTTTGCAAACTTGGGGCAGGAAAAATGTTTTAGAGAGATTATAAAAGGCACTTGCCATGGAAAATTGATGAATTGGACTTTCCCATAATTCAAAACAAAAGCATTGTATCTAGTATGTATAAAGTACATACAATAATAAAAAGACAATTGAAGTTAGAAAAATATAAAATGACCAAAACACACATAAAAATGTAATCAACATCAGTAGACATCAAGGAAAATAAAATTAAAGCAATAACCTAAAAAGGCCACAGAAGAATAGCTGAAAACTTAAAAAGCTCAAAACAACAGATGTTGGCACATATGTGGAGCTACCAGAACTCTCTCTACATTGCTGGAAGGAGTGTAAAATTGTACAATCACTATTTAAAAAAATTAATGCCAGTTTCTTAGGAAGTTAAACTTAACAACTATTCTGACTCAGCAGCTCCACTGTACAAAAGGAGTTGTACAAACATGTCTTTACTCACAAGAAACGCAAATTGGAAACAACTCAATAGAATGGATAAGAAAGCCATGATACCTCTATACTAAGAAATAAAAAATAAATTATTGATACATGAAACAATGTGAGTGATTCTCAGAAACATTATGTTGGGTAAAAGAAGTCAGACACAAAAGAGTACCTGCTCTTTTCCATCTTGCAAGATGGTGGGCGAAAAAGTTGAGAAGCCAGATACTAAAGAGAAGAAACCCAGCCAAGAAGGTTGATGCTGGTGGCAAGGTGAAAAGGGGTAATAACCTCAAGGCTAAAAAGCTCAAGAAGGGGAAGCCCCATTGCAGCCGCAATCCTGTCCTTGCCAGAGGAATTGGCAGGTATTCCTGATTTGCCATGTATTCCAGAAAGGCCACTCACAAGAAGTAGTACTCAGCTGCTAAATCCAAGGTTGAAAAGAAAAAGGAGAAGGTTCTTGCAAGTTACAAAACCAGTTGGTGGTGACAAGAACGGCGGTACCCGGGTGGTTAAACTTCACAACATGCCTAGATAATTATCCTACTGAGGATGTGCCTCCAAAGCTGTTGAGCCATGGCAAAAAAACCCTTCGGTCAGCATATGACAACACCGCAAGCCAGCATTACCCCCGGACCATTCTGATCATACTCACTGGACGCCACTGGGGCAAGAGGGTGGTTTTCCTGAAGCAGCTGACTAGTAGTGGCTTGTTACTTGTGACTGGACCTCTGGTCCTCAATCAAGGTCATCTACGAAGAACACACCAGAAATTTGTCATTGCCACTTCAACCAAAATTGATATCAGCAAGGTAAAAATCCCAAAACATCTTACTGATGTGTACTTCAAGAAGCAGCAGCTGCAGAAGCCCAGACACCAGGAGGGTGAGATCTTTGACACAGAAAAAGAGAAATATGAAATTACAGAGCAGTGTAAGATTGATCAGAAGGCTGTGGACTCATACATTTTACCAAAAATCATAGCTATTTCTCAGCTCCAGGGCTACCTGTGATCTGCATTTGCCCTGATGAATGGAATTTATCCTCACAAATTGGTGTTCTAAATGTCTTAAGAACCTAATTAAATCCCTGACTACAAAAAAAACATTCACTGGATGGGCTCAACAGAAGAATGGCGATGACAGAGGAAGACAGTGAATCTGAAAACAGATCAACAGAAAAAAAACCCTAAAAAAAAAAAAAAAAAAAAAAAAAAAAAAGAGTACTTACTGTATGCTTCTATTTATAGAAAGCTCCAGAACAGACAACACTAATCAATGGTGAAAGAAATTATAGCAATACTTGTTTATAGGGGATTGGCAGAGATTGACTAAGAAAACTTTTCTGAAGTGATTAAAATGTTGGAATTCTTAACTGGGATGTTGATATTTTCAAAATTTATCAAATTATACACTTACATGCATTTCACCATATGTAAACTTTTTCTTTAAAAAATCCTTCAACAATTTCTTCTCTATACAAAAGCCACTTTCAAGCACACACAGGCTCACTAACACATTACATCGTAAAAAATGAAAGTCCTAATTGTTAGTGAATATACGGAACAACTGGAAGTTGTATTCTCTACTTGTGGGAATGTAAACTGATACGAATCACTTTAGAAAGCAATTTGACAATATTTAATGCAGTTGAATGTGTCCATATGGCTCAGCAATTCCACAGCTAATTGTGTACTCCTAAAACACACATAGGAACAGGTATATTCAATGCAGCATTGTCTGTACTAGTTTTAAACTAGAAATCTCCCGATGCCCACCAACAGGAAAACAGATACGTAAATCACACATTGGCTGTACAACCAAATATCAAATAGCAGCAAAAATGAAAGAAGTGGAACAACTCCCATCAATGAGGATAATCCTCAGGAACATAATACAGAGTGAAACAATGCAGAAAAATACATATTGCATGGTACCATTTATAAAAAATTAGAAAATATAAAATCTTAATTCAATAAATTCCCTATGCATTTATGCATAAGTAGGAACAGCCGGAAAATATGAATGACGCCAGGTGGGGTGGCTCACACCTGAAATCCCAGCACCGTGGGGGGCCGAAGCAGGCAGATCACGGGGTCAGGAGATTGAGATCATTCTAGCCAACACGGTGAAACCCCGTCACTACTAAAAATACAAAAGGTAGCCAGGCATTGTGGCAAGTGCCTATAATACCAGCTACTCGGGAGGCTGAGGCAGAAGAATCGCTTGAATCTGGGAGGCAGAGGTTTCAGTGAGCCAAGATGGTGCCACTGCACTCCAGCCAGGTGACAGAGCAAGACTCCGTCTCAAACAAAACAAAACAAAAATGAGTAAGCATAAAATTCAGAATAGTGCTTACCTGGAGGGAGGGAAAGAAGGTACATACGGGTTCCATGTCTACTTGTAAGGTTTGATTTTTAAAATCTGAAGCAAATGTGGAAAAATATTAAGATCTGTTACGCTTGGTGGTGGACACAGGGCATTTATTTGAGATATGATTCTACAGGCATTTCTGCACGCTGAAATATTTCAAGATAAACAAAGAGAAGAAGTTGACTCTCTGAGGGCTCAGTCTTAGAGGGACTTGTATAAGGGATTGATAAATAGTTTCATTGTCTCCTGAAGAGAAACTGCAAACTATTCCACTCCCCAAAGAGTATATTTATTCTTTAGGAGTAATTTATTCTTTGGAGCTTTGCGTATACTTTAACTATTTCCATAAAGGATTTGAGGTATTATGCAACAAGACGTATATAATGAATCATGAAAACATAAACATAAGTAGAAAATCAAGATCAAATATAATAAATATTCTATCAATACTGGTTAACACCGTTGCTGTGATTAAATTTCAAACTTGGCTGTGAAGTTCTTGGCAACAGTAACCACTCCATCTCCAACTGACCCAAAAACGCAGGTTACAAAAACTAACCTTTGTTCTTCAAGATTTAAATAAAATATTTTCCTGAGTAGTCTCTCTGTATTCGATTTTGCATTTTGTCTTGCTGCTAACTAACCAGATTCTCTGTCCTCCCTCTTTCTCTTTCCTTTCCTTTTAAAATTTATAAAACAAACTGTGAGACAGGAGGACAAAGCTCAGGTTTGCCCAAAGAGATGAACAGGATTTGTTTTGGTCTGCCAACAAACTGTTAATGATAGAAAATCATGAAATCAAAACAAGAGAAAATATAGGTGAATCATTAACTGCTTTCTGAATAAGCATAATTACAATGAATGAAATCACAAAGAAAAACAATAGGAGATATGACCACACAGAAGGAAAAGCTTAGATAAAATTCAAAATAAAAAGGCAAGTACACTATGATAATCTTATTTAACAAGTGATAGGTTTATTCTCTTAAATATAAAAGATAGCATAAACAAGTACTGCTATATGCCAATGGCTCCAAATTCTGTAATTCTAGTTCAATCTACACTTCTTAACTCCCAACTCTTATATTCATACCTACTTAACACCTGCACTTGGATATTTAACAACCACCTCAACATATGTTGAGATGTGTGGTATAGCCTGCATATATTGCCTATGTTGAGATACACTGTGTATTCCGTAAGATGGAATCCCCGATCCTTCCTCCCAACAGATGCTGCATTCACAGACTGCTCTCATCTCAGTTGATGAGAACTCCATCTTTTTGGTTGTCCAAGCCAAAAACCTTGGGGTCGTCATTGACTACTGTTTCTATAATCCATATCCAATTGTCAGTAAATCTTGTTGGCTTTATCTTTAAAATATACCCAAGATCCAACCACTTTCTGACACCTCTGTCGCTAATCACCTTGATCCAAGTCACAACTATCTCTTGCCTAGAATAGTGCAGCACCTTCCCAACTGGTCCCCCTAATTTATTGTACCTCCTGAAGTTGATTCTCTACACATTATTGGAATGAATCTAGCCACCAATATATTTTAATATGTATATCCTTAAATAATAACTAACATTGTACATGTGTACTTATATATTACACCTAAAATGTGTAACATTTTATGTTAGTATTTATACTGCACATAATGGTCTGCAATATGCTTTACATGTAGATAAAGTTGAGTAATTCTCATCTTTTATTTGCTAGTCCTCAGTATAATGACAAAACATGAAAGTGGATCAGGAACCACCATGGGCATCAAAATTCTTCCCAGGTGCTAGACCCTTAAGACTAACAGTGAATGTGGGTCCAGTCTACTATTTATTGGCTGAAATACCCTTAGATGAGTTTTTTAAATCCTTTCCATGCCTCAGTTTTCTAGTGTTCAAATGGGATTGTTAATATATATATACACATATATATGTCTATATTGCAGTGTTAGGAGATTAAATGAGAATGCATATGAAGAGTTTATAATAGTGCAAGACATTGCTCAATGAATCTTTGTTGTTATGATGATTACTCATTGAAGAGAATATGAATCCCAGTGCATTCCCTGCCTGATAAGGAAGAGATCAGGAGCATGGTAGGGCTGTACTTACTATCTTAAGTGCCAGGTCTTCAGTGGAATGAAGTTCAGGAAGTGAGGAGCTGATACCAGAACCATCCTCCGACTCAGCAGCATAGTTAAGCAGCCTCAGGTCACCCTGCACACTTGGTAACCATCCCCAGGTCTACCAGCACACTTCACCATTCAGCTGCTGTACCAGAACACGGGGTATAATATCTCCCTAAATCGAGGTATTGAATGTTTCTACTTTTGAGGCAAATGCAAAATATTGTTTCTGTGTGAGATCCCTTTTGGAAAAAAAGCAATTCTTCAGCACACACTAGCCCAGAAAGTCTCAGACTGTGGAATTTGCAGCTTTTCCCCTTCCCTGAAAACTCTGGAAAATTCCAAGTAGAAAGGGCAATTTATTCCCTAGATTACCACTCACTCACAACATAGGACCCTCACTGATCCCAGACCCAGGTCTCTTTGTCCTTTTTTCTGGGGATTATCTTCACCGATGAACTTCAGAAAGCAAAATGAGTTTGGAGGGTACAGCTAGATGGGAGGACACAGCCATTGGAAGTTTGAGACCAGACAAAATAAGGATTCAAGAAGTAGAAATCGGCATGGGATAGTGGGAGCAGACAAAAGGGAACTCTGGTAGGAAGGAAGGAGAGACCAAAGCTGAGGAATAAAGAGGCTTGGTTTCAGGAACAAGAGAGAGACCTTATTTCCAGGCCTGAAGCAGAAGGTCTGGGTAGAGCCAGCAGTGGCCAGAATGGCTTGCTGCCTTTTCATTGAGTGCTTAGTGTTCCTAAAATTCCCAGAATGACTGGGCTGAGAAAGCATGTGAGTGTCAAGTCTCTTTAGCAGTAGGGATAGGAGGGTTAGGGAAGGAGAGACATGCAGGAAGCTAGACAGTTTATTAAACAGCCAGGCCATTCATCCTCAAAGCCCAGAGTAGGAACAGTTACCCAGACTCCCGAGGAGTTACAAGTTCTACTCTTCCCAATCTGCTAGAAATCCACGCAAAATATACTCTTGGTTCTCCTCTTAACATTACCTTCAAGCTGGGATCTCATCTCTACACTAAACAATATATGAGCCCCAGGAGAGATCACTGTTTACTAGCCAGATGAGAAACGTTCCATGTTTCAGTTGGAGCGTCTGAAGGATCAGAAAGCAATGCTAACAGCTCCTCTGTCCTAGGGCACCAATGCTGTCATTCAACCTACATCCAGAAGAGTATGAATTAAAGCTCAATACATTGGGTGTTTGCTGTGTGCCAGGCATGAGGAGAAACGCTTCACATGCATGATTTCATTTGATCCTCATGACTGTCTTATGAAGTGTGTGCTATTAGGAGGAAACTGAGGTTACATGCTAGGAACCTGACGGCCCAAGTGCCAAGATGCCAAACCAGGACAGTGTGCCTTCAAAGGCTATGATCAGAAGAAAGCTAACCTATTAAAGTTAAGCGCTCCTTCTGGGAGAAGAGAAATGAAGAGATCTTAAGGCTGTGGGTCTTTCTCAGAACCACTACCCTCCTCATCAGCATGAATTTGATCTTCAAATGAAATTTAAAAAATTAGAACCTTTCACCCATGCAACCCTAATACTTCTGAGGCACAGGTACACATGCATGTCTATAAAAGGAGCCCCTGAGCACTAACAATGGAAGAAAACACCTTTCAGAGATGCAGACTTACTGATTTGTAACAGCATTTTATAGTCAGTCCAGGTCTCTTAAGACAAAACATTTTCTTCCTATTTCAGTTTTGACTCATTTTCATATGCTCCGCCCATAGTGACTCCTGGGACCTCCTGTCGTTCCCTGAGAATGCATCCCTAGAAGAATGTGGCATCCTCCATATAGGTGAATAGCAGGGACCCTACCTAAATAAAGAGGAACATACAATAAATATGACAGTTCTGACTGGATTAATGAGGCAAACATACTTTATTTTTACTAATTTATTAGTAAGTTTATTCTTCACTCATAAAAAGAACATATTTTTGGCTTTGAAATCATGATGTAAAATAAAAAGGAAAATAACTGAAAATTATCTGCTGAAAGTAGGTAGATGCAACTCATGCTGAATCGTCAGCAAATGCTACATGCTTTGGGCTATAGCAGGGCACCAATCAAAGCAAGAACCAAGGATGCAGTGCTATGCCATTTCTGAACACTGCCTAGTTCCCAAAGGTTGTTTGGTCATTACATACAGGAAATCATTCCTTCCTTTCTCCTGCTTTCCTTCTTAACTTTTAGCTATGAGAACAGTGGGCAATAATGCTTTAATGCTAGTCTTTCTGGTTTATAGGATAGCGCTGCTGTTGTTTTAACACGTATAGCCTGCATATTTTCACCCTTCAAAAAATAAAACTGCCAAAATCAACTGTAACTAAAGGCCATGTTTATTTTTGGTCTGTTATCTGCTGTAGGCAGAGCTTCATATAGGAATTTTTATTGCGAATTTCTATGACGGCATCCCTAACAAGCTCAATGAACATCTGTGGCCAAAGCTTCTGCAAAGCCTCATTTTTCATGTTGATTTCTGTGGCTTCCTTCACAAGGTCTTCTATATACATTTTGCAGAATTTCTTCTTTTCCTTTATTTCCTGTTAAG